GAGGTTGAATCCTGACTCCGTGTAGAAAGTTCTTTTTTCCCCATTTATAATGCTCTTCAAACAATCATCAGAAAACAATCTTTCACAACACACGGATTAACCGGAATGTATAGTATTTTGAAGGTAAGAATTGATTAGGGCAGGATACACGGCTGTCAAAAAAATAGAAATAACAAAAACTATCTTTGCAAGCTCAAATAAACTGGAAACGAACTTCAGAAAACATCGCAAGATAAAATGTTAAATAGAGAAATTAAAATATCTCTGTACGTTAAGACAATTGTTTGCATGAAGAAGAAAAAAGAATGATGGAACAAAACTTTGACTTATTTCGCTGGCTATCTGGAAATTTACGACGTGTCTTCCTGCCGCAGAAGTTATTTTGCCAGTATGATCCAGAGTGTGACCGGGGTATTGACAAGACCTTAGGCTCGATTTCCGCCCTCTCCCCGTCCGTTGGGGGCTCGTTTTCCAGAACAGCGGCTTACAATCGAGCCTAACAAGACCTTGGCGCTCGCAAAAACCTGTGCCTAAAGCGGATTGTCATTTTAGTGTTAGCCTGTGTACACACTACCCTCCCCCCTTTGGGGGGAAAAAAAGAAAAAAGAAATGATAAGAAAAAAAAGATAAGAAAAAAAAGATGATAAAAAAAATGATAAGAAAAAAAAGATGATAATATTATCGAATTGATCGACACAACGCTATTGTTTTCTAATCGACCACCCCTCTTCAGGAATGCGTGACAGGCCACAGTAATTGAATTATTTTAAGCCGCAAACATCTATCATGATATATTATTCAGCTGCTTCTTCCTCGTTAAAAAAAAAAAAACAGACCTTAAGGGGATTCTAAGTCATGGTTTGTGTTTTTCTGTGGAAAGGAGAATTATTTTTCCCCTTAGAAATGTGAATGTAACGATTATATTTCCTGTCAATTTGTTGAAACAACGCATCTAAGGCTAATTTGCATACCGAGAACGAAGTCACGTTCATCGTCGACAAGAAAAAGACCCAGGGAAAAGCGATTACTAAGTTTTCTCCACATGTTTTCAAACGTCCAACATTTAAAGGGTCTAATGATATTTAGTGATAACTGGAAACGTTAAAGCTGTGGAAATTAGTCGATCAGATGCGGACCCGTTACAGTTCCAGCTTTGCTGTCAAAATGGCGAATTTTGGAACATTAACGGAACTTTGCACGGCACGCAAAGAAGAGTGCCCACAAATTTTATTGCGTTAAGAAGTAGACTGGTCTTAGTACTTCTGATTTATCATAGACTTGAGTCTGGATCAGGTGCCACTTTTGCGAAATTACCGTTCAGCTCTAGTTATGCAAATTACTTTTCCTGCTGAGCAAATTAACGGTCATTTTCAAAAAATCATATCTCAGCCAACTTTCCACAGAATGCAACCATTAAACATTGAAACTATTAATGAGAGTTAAAACTTTTGTGTGTAAAATAATCAGCTTATTCGGCTACGTAAGGTAGGTTTGACAGAGCCCTAAAGTTTCACCAAAATCGCACTACTTCCGACGGCAAACTGACTAGTTTTAGGTGACCGAGAAAATCTTCCTGTAAAATAGAGAAAAAATTGAGTTGGTCCAAATAAATGTGATATTTCTTCATGGGATAGGATAGTCATCTTCCACTGAAAAAATCAGGGCAATCCGTGATAGACCGAAATTTGCCTTATCGGTTCTTACGCGGACAGCCTCTTAAGATTCATTTGAGTTATTTAGACCTTTTTGATTAATAAATTTGTCATGATTAATGATTATATAAGATGTAAAATTTATTTACTTTTTATTTGAATTCAAACATACAGAGTTTTTTACTTCTCACGGAGCTTATTTTCTTAACCCCACACTATAAATTCCTGGTGTTTTCAGTGGCAGGTCTGGATCGCACAAAATTCGGATTTTATCGATTTCAAAGTTTTTGTTTATTGTTGTCATAGTGATATCAAATTTACCTAAAAGTGCATTTTGACAAACTTCAATTCATATGCAGTGAAAATTTTACAGCGAGTGGACAAGGATAAAATCACTTTTTAAGGGATTGAAAAATATCGGTATGGCCTCTGAAAAACTCTATTAAAACACCGTAAATCGCTCTCTTAATAATATTCTAAGGGATTCGGTTTTGGCAGATGATTTGTTTTTCGTGTAACTGGGTATTTGCATGCTTTAAATAATCGTAGGTACCCTACCTAAGGATCAAACCAGGAACACAATGCCAACATGGGCAAATATGATGCCTTTGAAGGATCAAGAAGTCTCTAAAAAACCATACCCTTTTGGGCAGCAAATACCCTTCTAGCTGGGCTAAGTACCAGTGCATGAGTTGTTTCTTGTTTAATATTCCTTCTCTACATAGTGTTTGTATCCAAAGAAATCTACTAACAATGGTCCAATCTTGCTAAATTACGTTACTTTACTAGTTTGTTCAAAGGCTATTTTACTCTTGAAAATTTGCCTGCCCTTGACAAAGCTTAGATTGGATTATCTTGTAAACTTACTTCTAACCTCTTTATATATTTGATTCTGGTTTTGTTGACGCCATTAAACTTCTAGCGTTTGTTTACCCTAACAAGTAGATGTTGTGGGTGTTTTAATTCGGAAGAAGTTATGCTCACTTCAGGTTTATCTCTGGTTTGCACATTGGAAGGAGTGGACTTTGTAGTTATCGCCAAGGAGCCAGCTTAGCGACGACACGAGTTTTTATAGTTTCTCTTTTCAGTATCACTGTATATCCAACCTCACTTCTCAGAACGGTGACAACCAGTTTCGCTACTTGTCGAATATGCTACCTCCTAGTTTTCGTTTAATTTGGCCTGGCCCTTCGCATTTGTGCAAAGCTGCAAGCTTTGGACTTTGCCAATAGGTAGCGAACTTTGCATGTAGGAAGCAATCTCGAACGTAGCGAATTTGACAAGCTGCAAAACCTGTGAAAAGCCTCAGGACCCTCTTCAAGCTTACACTGTCAACTTCCGCTTATAATCCCTTCCCCCACCACAGACGAAGTTGTATAAGCCCAGGCTTATAAACTAGGAGGACTTATTGCCCCGTTTGAAGCAAGTTTCAAAGCAGTGCTGATGAAAATAATTTTTGAATTTGCTCGCTTTTTTAAGCTTCCAAGCTTAAAAAACGTCTTAAAAAATAAAATTATTTCAATAAAAGCTAGAGGGGTCTTATATATAACCTACTTAAGAACCCGAATAGAACCTGACCTCGCCGATTTTTCAAAGTCCCCGACCACAGACACACAAAATTTCAGCCCCTCCTCCCCCTCAACATCTTCATACCCCCTTCTCTATAGTCATTGAACGTTTGGCCTTATCCATGTTCTCTCCATACAAATATTATCAAAAGTAATCGAAAAACAATCCTAAACAGAACGACTAACAACGTTTAAAATAAGTACAAGTATGTTTTTGACTATTGAAAAAACTTTTCAAAACCACCACTTCATTTCAACACACTGTAACTACACTATCCTTTCATAACCACATTAGCACGTACACAACTACATCAGTGCAACACCTAAAATCACTTTTACCTCCCAAAATAATTTTTTTTTTTGTTACTTCATATTAAATTCTACGAGAAACAAGTTTCACTGATTCACAAACTACAACCACTATCTTACCAATTCACGTCCAATATAACACCACGCCTTTCCCTTTTCGCGTTTCAACTAACCCCTGGAATATACAACGCTACTGCACTACTCACACATCCCTAATACACATAAAAAAATGTCACACCCGCGTTGAACATCGACGCCCAAATAAACGCCCCGACAGCATCTTGTTTGATAAGCAAAGAAATTTGCGTGTGATGAACACGATTTTATAGGCCAATCAGAGATGGTTATTTTCGGATTCTTCCAGAGGTTATTGATCGCCGTCGCGGTACAAAAGGATCGCGGCCTCTGGGAACGAGATTGGATGGTTTTTGGGTTTTAAAAGTGGCACAGCAGTCTTGACTTTTACTTTATGCTTTCTTTCCTCCCCTCTTTTTTCGCTTTTCTTGCCTCATTTTTTTCTCTTTCTCAACATCTAGTAGGCTTCATTTTGGTGGGAAAAGTTTTTAGGAAAGCTTTTAGGATCTTAGGATTAGATGAAAGGAAAAGTGGGTGGGTAGTGGAACAAGATTTTCATGGAACTTTTCAGGTCAATGTGATATGGTTACAATGTTACATTGGTCTACTGACAGCCTGAGCGGCCTTGACAAGAATACATTTGAACGTAACTCTACACTCTTAGAAAAAAGAAAGCAAAGTGATGCCTTTTCTTTTCATGCTGATAGAAAAGTAGTTTAAAAAGAGGGGCAAACGGGTGTGGCAAGGACTGGGGAAAGAGGGGTAGCGAATTATGAGTGTTTTTCGAACGCGTCAAGACTAAATCAAACCAGAACCTAAATCCCCGCTGATCAGGGCAAATTCATTTTCCCCTGGATTCCCACTGAAACGGTTAAAATATCTTTTCATAAATCAACGTGTAAACAAACGTGCAAACGGATTCAATCCGTGCTAAGGTCTTTTTATTAGCTTTTTTCAATCATACAAATTTAGAGTACTTTAACTCCTTTTGAACTCGCATTTTTATAGTTGTTTCTATTCTTTGATAATGGCATCATGATGTCGCCGAAACTTTGGAACATTGTCTCCGGCGTCATTTTTTACATGCTTATTTTTTTTTGGTTCCGTTTCTTGGTATAGAATATATACGTTACCATTCATTGATTATTCTTTGGCATGTGCTTTAAATTCACTGTAAATTGTAAGAGATTGTAACTAGGCGCCAAACTTCAACAAAATTAAGAAACTATTTCAGTGAAAAAAATGGTTTTTAGGCAGGTCAATTTTTGGCCTTAATAGTTGCCTTTTTGGATTATAAGGCAACTGAAACAACGTCTTTGCTTTGAATTACATTTGATACCACATGAATATTCAATTAACCAGGGCTCCGTTGTCACCTTTTCCACGAAGGAAGAACATGGCGACCGAAATCTGTTTAACAATCAGTCTTGGGCATGGACTAGAAGCCTTCATTTCAAAGGTGGATAAAACTGGTAAAAGTTATCGCGTTCACTATGGTGTAAGAACATTTACGCTTTACTCAGGGAAAAGAACTTGGACAAAAGAACATTTCTTTGGTTTAAACACGTGGAAGTTTACCGAACGTATGTCGTGTTATTTAGTTGATGTTTATCTCTTCTTGACAGGTAAATCCTATGTAGTGTTAATTTTCCTTGATAAAAGTAGACATTTTGATACAATTATGGGGCAAAAACTTTACAGTGAGGCATACTTCTTGATATTTCTCTCTAACATTTCTTGATGAGCAAATCACGCGCGAACGCGCGAGTGTCCCACGTTCTCGCTCCGGAGTGGCCTTTGCTTACTCGCTAGAGAATATCCAGAAAGGTAATCTTTCGAATTTTCACTTGAAAAAACGTTTTTGCAGAGAAATAAAAAGTGATATGTCAAGTTAACCTGGAAAAGAGAAATTTCCTTACTTCTTTGAGATTTTAAATTTATCATGCATGAGACTAAGGAGTCAATAAATACGCTCCTATTGGTACATGATAAATGAGAGCCAATCACCTGGAATGTGCATTCCCTTTAGTTTTGAACCGGCGGTCCTTACCTTCATCCCTTTTTCTTTCCCCAAATTCCCTCCTTTCCTATCCCCTTTCGGCGCCTGCCACGCACGGGTCAGCGGACTTTTTACCTAGTGAGCGGTCGCTAAGCCGAACAGAACAAGACGGCGGGAAGATCTACTTACCCTGGGGTTTTATGTCACTTCAGTTTCGTTGACGGACTTTTCCTCGACATATGATCGACCGACTGAACTGATGTCTTGAGCTTCACAATCATCCTGTTGGGCAGGGCTCAGAGGCAAGTGATTAAGACGAAATAACTTTTCAGGAATTCCCCAGGCAGGCGCAGGTCAACAGGCTTAAACCTCGTCCAGTGTCAAAGTCCATGTGACCCTACGGTGTAATTCTGTGGAGTTTACAAAATTAATTTTCAAATATTCACTATAATGATCATAAGTCACCTTTTTAAATCTCTAAATTATTTTAAAGTTATGTGATAGGTCAGAGAATGATTTCTCATGCACTCCAGGTAAATGAATTGTGGATATCATTCATTTTTCTCATTTCAGTTTTTGCAAATGAAGTTTGGGCTTGTGAGTTGGAACATAGTTAGGTTGGAGAAGACTTCAAGAACACACAGAACAGAGCGTGCTAAGTAATATTGTCACAAAGTAAGAAAATACAGTTGTACAGAATATCATCTGAAAGAAACACAAACCAGTGCATGCTAGGTTATATTATCACAAAGTAACACAAAACAGAGAACAGTCTTTTTTGAGATTTCGAGTAAACAAAGAACAGTGTGTACAGATTAATCTCAAGTCAAAGTAACTGAGATTTTTTAAAAACGTTTTCCACGATGCATCTAAACACACTATTTTCGTCTCTTTTTAGGGGGAGGGTGGAGGATGGCAAACACCAGAGAGAAACTCTCTTAACTGGATCAGATTTTTTTATAAATGGGTAAGTCAACTCTGCTTGTATTGTTGTTTTACTGTATGAGCAACTGTGAACATGCTTACCCCAAGTCATTTTAATTACGTGTACGTGACTCATATTGAAGCTCCAGTCTACCGTTAATGGAAAAGTTTTACTGTTAAGGAAGTTGGAATGTAACATAATGTAATGTAATGCAAAGTAATGCAACATAATGTCACTTAATGTAACGTAATGTAACATAATAAAACGTAATGTAACATAATGTAATGTAGTGTAATGTATATCTTAGGATCTTACAGGATTTTTAGAGTATATCTTACAAGATCCTGATAGGATCTTACAGGAATTTTAGGGTATATCTTGCAGGATTTTTAGAGTATATCTTACAGGATCCTGATAGGATCATACAGGATTTTCAGAGTACATCTTACAGGATCCTGATAGGATCATACAGGATTTTTAGAGTATATCTAACAGAATCCTGATAGGATCTCACAGGATTTTTAGAGTATATCTTACAGGATGCTGATAGGATGTTACAGGATTTTTAGAGTATATCTTACAGGATCCTGATAGAATCTCACAGGATTTTTAGAGTACATCTTAAAGGATCATGATAGGATCTTACAGGATTTTTAGAGTATATCTTACAGGATCCTGATACAATCTCACAGGATTTTTAGAGTATATCTTACAGGATCATGATAGGATCATACAGGATTTTTAGAGTATATCTTACAGGATCCTGATAGAATCTCACAGGATTTTTAGAGTATATCTTTCAGGATCCTGATAGGATCTTACAGGATTTTTAGAGTATATCTTACAGGATCATGATAGGATCTTACAGGTTTTTTAGAGTATATCTTACAGGATCCTGATAGGATCTTACAGGATTTTTAAAGTACATCTTACAGGATCCTGATAGGATCATACAGGATTTTTAGAGTATATCTTACAAGATCCTGATAGGATCTTACAGGATTTTTAGAGTATATCTTACAGGATCCTGATAGGATCTTAGAGAATTTTTAGAGTACATTTTACTGGATTCTGATAGGATCTTCCAGGATTTTTAGAGTATATCTTACAGGATCCTGATAGGATCTAGCAGGATTTTTAGAGTATATCTTACAGGATTCTGATAGAATCTTGCAGGATTTTTAGAGTATATCTTACAGGATCCCAATAGGAGACTTGCAGGATTTTTAGGGTATATCGTACAAGATCCTGATAGGATCTTGCAGGATTTTTAGAGTATATCTTACAGGATTCTGATAGGATCTTGCAGGATTTTTAGAGTATATCTTACAGGATCCCAATAGGAGTCTTGCAGGATTTTTAGAGTATATCTTACAGGATCCTGATAGGATCTTGCAGGATTTTTAGAGTATATCTTACAGGATTCTGATAGGATCTTATGGAATATTTAGAGTATATTTGACAGGATTCTTATCGGATCTTACTTGATTTTTACGGGTATCTTACAGGATTTTTAGAGTATATCTTACGGGATCCCAATAGGATCTTACAGGATTTTTGGAGTATATCTTACAGGATCCCAATAGGATCTTACAGGATTTTTAGAGTATATCTTACAGGATCCCAATAGGATCTTGCAGGATTTTTAGAGTATATCCTACAGGATGCTGATAGGATGTTACAGGATTTTTAGAGTATATCCTACAGGATGCTGATAGGATCTTACAGGATTTTTAGAGTATATCTTACAGGATCCCAATAGGATCTTGCAGGATTTTTAGAGTATATCTTACAGGATGCTGATAGGATCTTACAGGATTTTTAGAGTATATCTTACAGGATGCTGATAGGATCTTACAGGATTTTTAGAGTATATCTTACAGGATGCTGATAGGATCTTGCAGGATTTTTAGAGTATATCTTACAGGATCCCAATAGGAGTCTTGCAGGATTTTTAGAGTATATCTTACAGGATCTTGATAGGATCTTACAGGCTTTTTAAAGTATATCTTAAAGGATCCTGATAGGATCTGGCAGGATTTTAAGAGTATCTTACAGGATTTTTAGAGTATCTTACAGGATTTTTAGAGTATATCTTACACTACCCTTATAGGATCTGACAGAATTTTTAGAGTATATCTTACAAGATTCTGATAGGATCTTACAGGATTTTAAGAGCATATTTTACAGGATCCTCATAGGAGTCTTTCAGGATTTTTAGAGTACATCTTATAGGATCCTGATAGGATCTTACATGATTTTAAGACTTTATCTCAGAGGATCCTGATAGGATCTTCCAGGATTTTTAGAGTATATCTTACAGGATCCTGATAGGATCTTACAGGATTTTTAGAGTACATCTTACAGGATTCTGATAGGATCTTCCAGGATTTTTAGAGTATATCTTACAGGATTCGGATAGGATCTTGCAGGATTTTTAGAGTATATCTTAAAGGATTCTGATAGGATCTTGCAGGATTTTTAGAGTATATTTGACAGGATTCTTATCGGATCTTACTTGATTTTTACGGGTATCTTACAGGATTTTTAGAGTATATCTTACGGGATCCCAATAGGATCTTACAGGATTTTTGGAGTATATCTTACAGGATCCCAATAGGATCTTACAGGATTTTTAGAGTATATCTTACAGGATCCCAATAGGATCTTGCAGGATTTTTAGAGTATATCTTACAGGATGCTGATAGGATGTTACAGGATTTGTAGGGTATATCTTACAGGATGCTGATAGGATCTTACATGATTTTTAGAGTATATCTTACAGGATCCCAATAGGATCTTGCAGGATTTTTAGAGTATTTCTTACAGGATGCTGATAGGATCTTACAGGATTTTTAGAGTATATCTTACAGGATCCCAATAGGATCTTGCAGGATTTTTAGAGTATATCTTACAGGATGCTGATAGGATGTTACAGGATTTTTAGAGTATATCTTACAGGATCCTGATAGGATGTTACAGGATTTTTAGAGTATATCTTACAGGATCGCAATAGGATCTTGCAGGATTTTTAGAGTATATCTTACAGGATCTCAATAGGATCTGGCAGGATTTTTAGAGTATATCTTACAGGATGCTGATAGGATGTTACAGGATTTTTAGAGAATATCTTACAGGATCCCAATAGGATCTTGCAGGATTTTTAGAGTATATCTTACAGGATGCTGATAGGATGTTACAGGATTTTTAGAGTATATCCTTAAGGATCCTGATAGGATCTGGCAGGATTTTAAGACTATATCTTACAGGATCCTGATAGGATCTTACATGATTTTTAGAGTATATCTTTCAGGATCCTTATAGGATCTTACAGAATTTTTAGAGTACATCTTACAAGATGCTGATAGGATCTTACAGGATTTTTAGAGTATATCCTAGAGGTTCTGATAGGATCTTATATGATTTTTAGTGTACATCTTACAGGGTTTTTAGAGTATGTCTTATAGGATCCTGATAGGATCGTACAGGATTTTTAGAGTATATCTTACAGGATACTGATGGGATCTTGCATGATTTTTAGAGTATATCTTACAGGATCCTGATAGGATCTTATAGGATATTTAGAGTACATCTTACAGGATTCTGATAGGATCTTACAGGATTTTGAGATTACTTTTTACAGGATACTGATGGGATCTTGCAGGATTTTTAGAGTATATCTTACAGGATCCTGATAGGATCTTACAGGATATTTAGAGTACATCTTACAGGATTCTGATAGGATCTTACAGGATTTTGAGATTACTTTTTACAGGATACTGATGGGATCTTGCAGGATTTTTAGAGTATGTCTTACAGGATCCTGATAGGATCTTACAGGAGTTTTAGAGTACATCTTACAGGATTCTGATAGGATCTTACACGATCCTGAAAGGATTAAACATGTGAAACAGTGTGTATATATGTACCTATCTCTGTAATTTTGACACCACACTACTGAAATCAAAATCTAATTTTAAACATTTAACACTTTTTCTCTCTGGAGTGAATGATGAAGTCTTTGTTACCAGTAGTTAAAGCTCTAACCTTTTAGCTGTGACCATTGAAATGAATTATCTTCATTAGTTCTTTCATGTGTCACAATTTATTTTCCAGCATTTTACAAAAGTGAAATCAGATAATCTTGTTGAATTTTAAGTTTTGATGTTTCTGGGAGTAAAAGATTATTCTTTTTTTCTGATTTCTTTGCAGGAGGGTGAGTGATGTGGATGCTTGGATTGTAAACTAGATGAAGGAAACCACACAACGTTACTCTGGATCAAGATCAAAAGGAAAGCTAGGAGGAACAAATTGAAAGCAGATCGGTAGAAAATTTAGTTGTTATATCTTACAGTTTCAAAATCAAGGCAGCTTAGATGGTCTAAATGGGTTCTTGATTCGATCAGTAAAAGCTTAATATTATGGTGGCTACCAATAAGACGCAAAAAGTGGCATTACAATGAGAAATGATTGATTGAACCACACCACTCAGCCAACAACAACAAGGCAATAAGTAAAATCGTCATAAATTTATATTTACAATAGAAAAGAGAGTTCGCTAGGTGTAAGATTCCAAAAGGACACAAATCATAACTAATATCGTCACAAAGTAACACAAAACAGAGCTTGCAAAGTTGATAGATTTCAAGAAAACACAGAACAGAACGTGCTGAGTAATCTTGCTATTAAGGAAAAAAATGAGCATGCTAAGTTGTAAGATTTGAAAAAAATGAAGTACAGACTGCCATCTAAAAGTACACAAAAGAGAGCATACTCTATGGTGATTCAAGTTAATATAGAATACGGCCAAATTTTGAGCAAGTCCCAGATGCAATCCTAAATTTCTGGTGAACTTGTATTTAAATTTCAAGCCTAGAACTCGGAGGGTCGTGAGTTTGATTCTCACCTGGAGCTTGGAAAAATTTTTTATGCTTTCTAATGTTTGAATTCTCCTTCTTCTTTAATACATTGTAGTGTAATCTCATCTCAAAGTAACAACTGAAATTTTGGAAAATGTTTGCCCCAATGCATCTAAACACACTATTTTTGTCTTTGTTTAGGGGAATAACAGGGATGAAACAGAGAAGGGTGGAGGATGGCAAACACCTGAGAGAAACTCTCCTAACTGGATTACATTCTTTTGTAAATGGGTTAGTTGACTCTGTTTGTATTGTTGTTTTATTCTTTGAACAACTGTGAACATGCATACCCTAAGGTATTTTAATTACTTGGCTCATATTGAAACTCCAGTCTGCCTCTGATGGAAAAATTTCGCTGTTAAGGAAGTTGTAGCAAGTTCACCAGATCATAATGAGAAGCTAAACTTCCTGAGGGGAATCCTGCAGAGATCTTGGCCAGAATCTTGACAGGGATCCACCCTTTGTTTGGATCTTGTCAGGAATCTTGACTGGGATTCCTTACAAGGATTCTTAGTGGGAATTATGACAGAAATCCCAAAGGGGAACCTCACCTCTCTGTGGGAATCTTGCCAAAAATTCCAGCAGGTATCTTCGCTTAATATACCAGCCATATTTCTAAATTTGTTTTTTACTAGGTAACTCAGAGTGTCAATAAACCCAGATATAAATTCCTGTTAGGAGAGTAAAACATTTGATGTTGCAAGAAAGAACACCTACATGTAAATTAGGATGAAACTTTATCATGTAAACTTATTTTCCTTTTTTAAACGGAGAAATAGCTTAGTTAATTTGAATGTGTTGGTGTTGTGAAACAAGAAAGTTCTATGCTTAATTTACAAGCTATTTCTAGTACCATACAAACATCTGTACAAAATTAACTGAGCTATTCATTTCTCTGCTGGCTTCTTAACTAGTAAAATTGTGTTCAAATTTTGAGGCTTTTTTTCTTGAGGCATTGATCTGTCTTCTGCATTGGTGGGAATTTAAGTCAAGAATGTTTATTTGTAATGGAGGTTTTCTCTGTGTTCAGTTTGAGGCACTCCATTCAGACCTATCTTAATGCATTTCAAGAAAACTCCAGTCACTGTCTTTCTGAAAGTTTTCTGAACAATTTTTATTGACGAGGGGAAGCTGAAATTTATGGTATCCTTCTTAGAAAAAGTTAATTGTATCACCTTAACACAGCTTTTGTCTCCATTTAAAGGAATATCAGGATTGGAATGGAATGGAAAAATTGGAGGATGATCAACACCAGAAGGAAAGTAAGTTGGTGACATTTGCATTATATTTGTTTCATCTTGCCTATACTCTATAGCATTAAAAGCTGCTTTGCAGTCCAATCCTATTGCATAATCTTAATTATGTCAGATGTAAAAATTAAATTCACTGTCATTTTTCCTGGCACTTTTGTAGAGATAGTGACAGAAAGAAACTGGAGCACATTTAATGGGGTTTAGTCATGGCTTTCAGGCTTATTTTGTTAATAATGCCAATTACAGCACTCTTACAACTGAGGAAAAGCTGACTTTGTTCATCCTGGTTTTTTCATCTTTCACCATTGGAAAGCACTGCCCTCACTACCCAGGACCTAAACTTTTCGAAACAATAATTTCTTCTTTGAGGCCTTTTTCTTTGAGGCCTTCTTTGAGGCCAGGAATAAATCTAAAGATTGTTGAGATACTGAGTGCTAACTGTTAAAAGTTGCCATTGACTTCAAGAGTATCAAATCTACTGAGGGAGTAGTGGATGGGTTAGGAAAACCCAACCTTGGTACGACAGACAAATATACCTAAAAATAGGGGACTGTTATATTGTCTAGCAAGGGACCAAATTCACCAAGTTGTAATGCCCTTGTGGTCTTATTTTCCCTCTATTTTTCAAAACAATAGACTTGAAATGTCTGACAAAGTGTTGAAATCAGATTGCCGTTGGTCATAGAGAGGCAAGTTGGGGTTCATATCAGTAGGTGAGTGATTGATTATCTTTGTTGTCAGAAAATAATCCCTTATTTTTGCCCAGTTTCGAATTTGTCACTGCCATTGAATAGAAGGACTATAGACTCATTTATACATAGCCTGTGAGCAAGCTCTCCTATCTGGGCGAGCAAAGCGAGCTGTGCTAGAAGGCACAAGCGAGCGGCGAAGCCTTGAGGGGCCAAGGAAAAGAGGGCTTGCAACGATGTCTCATAAATTTTCATTTGTACTTCGCCCAGACAAAGAGAAATACCACTGGATAAAAAATGACATTCTGGAAATCAAAGTTGATTGATAACAGGCCTGGCTGGCATCCCCTAAATTTTGTGCGAGAAGTAGAAACACAATGCTCTTATCGCAAAAACCCGTGTTGTGTCACACTCTGAAAAAGAAGACCTGCAGAGGAAGAAAATCGCTTTCTCCATCTGTGGGAGATAACCATCGTTTGTGTGTTAAATTTGTTTGTCAGGAGAATCAGCAGATTGATGACACTACTATTACGAAAAATAATAAGAAGAACTAACTGAGTTTTTGTGTCATGAACGCTCAATCTCTAAACAACAAGGCTGGTGAATTTGCTGATTTTGTCTGCAAGTATAAACCTGATGTTGTAGCTATTATGGAAACGTGGTTTCATGAAATAGAGTCTGCTTCCCGCACTCTCTGTACATCTCCAGGGTACAGCCTTCTTGTCCATCCATGATCTAACTGCACTGGGGGTGGTACAGGAGTCTTGTTCATTGATACGTTAAATGTGACCAAAATTGCTGCTGCCGAATTCCAACCATTTGAGTACTCTGAATGGAACATCAAATCTGAATCCGAGCAGATACATTTGATTATCATCTACAGACCACCGTACTCTGAAGTCCATCCTGTAACTACGAGTGTTTTCCTGGAAGAATTTTTAGAATTTCTTGAGTCTACAGTCTTCACTGGTAGCCATCTCTTGATTACCAGAGACTTCAACATTCATATCGATGTTACTGATGATCCTGATGCACTCAGACTACGTGACCTACTCGAGAGCACTGGGCTTGAGCAACATGTGACTGTTCCAACTCATATCATATTGTTCCTCTATTCCATGGACCGACTATCTCTTCTCAGGTCACTTACCAGTCCACTGTAAGCTCAAGGCTGTCAAGTTTTCTTTCAAAAGATCACAAATTTCCTTCAGGAAAGTGAAGTCAATCAGTGCTGATATTTTGCAGGATGAGCTTTCCAGCACTGATCTCTGTAAGAACACCCTCTCATATGACCTTGAAGGTCTTTTTAAATGCTATAGTAATACACTCCTGTCAGTCCTTAACCACACCATGCACCTTTGATCACTAAGACAATTACGAAAAGACCTAGACTTGACCTCATGGTTGAACCAGGGAACAGTGCAAAAAAAGAATGCAGAAAGGCTGAGAGGAAATGGCGCAGGACAAAGTTAGACAGTGACTTCCTAATGTTCAAAGCCAAGAAAAACCATGCTACCTTCATTATCAGAAATACAACGAGAAACTATTACACTGATTTCATACAAGAGAACAGCAATGACCAGCACAAACTGTTCAGGTCCACTAAAATACTCTTTGACCAGGACACTGACTCGACCTATCAGAAATATTGTGACAGTGCTGTGTTAGGAAATGACATCAGGAACTTCTTTGTGCAGAAGATCAAGCGCATTAATTTTGCACTGAACTTGATGCAGTTGCCAGTGGTTCTAGTCCACATTCAGAGCCAGCCTCTATGTGCTCAACTCAGTTTGACTCGTTTTCAACTCCAAGTGATGATGATGTCATGCACTTAATCGCTAATAAAATCAAGTTAGAAGTCTTGCTCCTTGGATCCTATGCCTATGCCCCAAGTGGTTGAGTGCCTTGATGTTCTCTCTCCAGTTCTAACCAGGATGTTAACTCCGTCCTCAGAAACTGGTTGTTTCCCAGACAACTGGAAACAAGCCGACATTCACCCAAGGCTAAAGAAACCAAGAGCTGAGGTGATGTTTAACAATCTACGCCCAATCAACAACCTTTCGTTTGTTTCTAAACTAGTTGAGCAAGCCATTTTTAGTCAAACTCTTGATTATCTCACCCTGTATGAGCTCTATCCTAAAGCCCAGCCCTGATACTGTGAATTTCACAGCACTGAAACGGTGCTAGTGCAGTTCATGACATCTTGCTCATTGTGAACCAGCAGCGAATCACTCTCCTCGTACTACTTGACCTCAGTGCAGCCTTTGATACCATTGGCTACGCATTTCTACTTGACCGTCTACACGCCCACTTTGGTATCTCGGGGCATGCACACTCCTGGATCAAGTCCTACTTCCACCACAGATTCCAATCCATATCTTTTCACAGCAGAATATCGAAGAGGTTTGAGGCAAAGTATGGCGTTCCACAAGGATCTTGTCTTGGTCCCATTTTATTTGTCCTCTATGCAAGCACGCTGTTCATGACTATGGAATGTCACCTACCTGATGTCCATGCATATGCCGATGACACACAGCTGTAAATCTCCTTCAATGCCAACTCTAGTGAGGAGCAATCAGCAGCTCTGGAGAACATGCAAAAATGTATTGCTGACATCAGAGATTGGATGCTATCTGACAGGCTTAAACTAGACGATGATAAAACAGAATTCATCATCATCGGAACAAGACAGCAACTGGCAAAAGTTAATATTGACTCTTTAAGAGTCAGTGACAGTACTTTTACACCAGCTAGCAAAGTAAAGAACCTTGGTACCTGGTTTGATCGACAGATAAAGATGGACACACACATTAAAAACATTTGTAACATTAACTTCGGAAAGCTGCTTTTTTCCCACTTATATAACATAAGAAGAATTAGGAAGTTCCTCAGTCTTGATTGTACTCATATTTTGGTCAAAGCATTTGTAACAAGTTGTCTGGATTATTTATTTATTTATTTTAAACAATATTTAGTCGGGAGTGTCCAGTTCAGTGAGGCTGGTTTGAATGGGGCCCTGATGAAAAGAAAAAAACAACTCCAAAGACAACAGTCTCATGTATGGCTTGCCTAGCAGCCTGCTGCACAAACTCCAACGAGTGCAAAAAGCAGATGCCAGGCTGATCTGCAATGGTGGATGCTTTGATCAAATCACTCCCTCATTATTTAGCCTCCACTGGCTGCTAGTTAGATACAGAATTCAATTAGCTCACGCGTCAGCATGCATAATTTATGTCGACATATTGAGCACGCTGGAAGTTTGGAGAGCTTGAAAGAGGGGTAAGAATTCAGCAACTCTAGCCTCTTGAGTGTTCTCCAAACGTCCCAAGTGCTCAATTTCTCGACATACGCACAGCTGGAGCATGAACTAATATTAGTATTGTTTTATAACATTATCAAAGTGATCAATGCAGCAGTTAACTTCAATCTTTATCATTGTAGCATGCTCAAAGCAGGATGCGTCAATGTCTACGTGACTATATTTTATTCCTCACAGTTATGTTTTTGTCTTGAAACTGAGAGAAAGTTTTCTCAAGTCACTTAAGATAACATTCAAAAAGATTGTTTAATCCACATTGAGGTGCCGGAAAACTATTATTTCACCAGAAAATTATTTTTGAAAGAAATAACTTTGCAAAGAATGATTTGCACAGCTCCCGCAGATGACAACAACAACAACACTCACCTCCCTTAGACTATCAGTTAACAAATTCAAACGTTTTCTCTTGCTACATGTAAATATGCGTTATAAAATACATGGTTAACACTTCATCGGATTAGTTGATAATTCTTATAACCTTTTCTCTTAATTGTGTTTTGATGTTGTTAGGAGAAAATTAAGGTTGATCACTCTTGGCGGCAGGTCTGAAATACAGGTCACTTCTCCACAGGTCAGAGTACAGGTCACCATGATACAGATAAATGAACAGTAAAAGTTTCTCTTAGCCCAAATCTCTTAACAAAATGCTCTGTTAGATCAAGGGGAAGCTGTGTAGTTTGGTATTATTTATCAATGGAGCAGTAACCTGTACTCTTGACCTGTGAATAAATGTGACCTGTACTTTATATTAGACTCGGCACACTCTTGGGACTTAAAAGTTTAAATGAAAGGTATAACTGCTGATCCTATAGAGATATTATCCTTCTCAGAAAAAAAGTTGATTGTATTGTCTTAACACAGCTTTTGTCTCCAATTAAAGGAATAATAATGAGGAATGAAATGAAATGGAACAATCGAAGGATGATTATCACCAGCAAGAAGTAAGTTAGCTACAGTCATCAATCGTAAAACATAGTGACTCAATGTTGTTCTAGAATTAAGTTTGTCAATTTTGTCTATTTCGTTTATTGGTCTTGCAAATCAAAGTATTGAATTATGTTAGACCTGTGTTTGCTGTGTTGTATTTGGATTGCCAATCATTGCAAGTTAGAAAATGGTAGGTTTTATTAATTTAGAGGTTAAGGAATTTATCATAACACTCTCTCAGTGATTTAGATAGCTTTATAATAACATGTAAGTTTAATGTTATGAAGTTGTTTTGGTGTCCTCAAGTAGTAGAGGGTCTCTAGCCGTTAAATACAGGAATGGCTGTGAGCCTTTTAAAAGAAAATCACTGACCATGTTTGAAAGGGGAGTAAACCGCACCAAGAGTTTGAAGTGCCTTAATAGACATTCATCTCTCCCCCCTACATCCTTTTACCTTCATCCACCTTCATCTACCTTCACTAGCTGTCATTAATTTTTCCTTCATCTACCTCCACTAGCCTTCACTCTCCATCATGCACGTTCCTCTATCTAGTCTTCATTTACCTTTTTTCAGCTTCTGCTACCTTCACTAGCCTCCATTTACCTTCATCCAACTTCATCTACCTCCATTCGTCTACCTTTCCTAGCCTTCACTAGCCCTTAATTCCCTTCATCTACATCCATTAACCTTCACTCACCTTCATCAACCTACATCTATCTCCAATAACCTTCATTTATCTTCATCCACTTCATCTACCTCCACTAACCTTCATTTTCCTTCATTCACCATCATCAACCTTCACAAACCTTCATCCACCTTTAAATTTACCTCCACCAGCCTTCATTTACCTTTATCTACCTCCATCTACCTTCACTAGCCATCATTTACCTACATCCACCTTCATTTACCTTTTGCTACCTCCACTAGTCTTCATTGGCCTTCATTTTATAGTGGTTGTCAACCAAAATGCCACTGATATAACAAGTAGTTTTGAAATCCATTCTTATGCCTTTAATAAGGGTAACATCTGGTGCAGTGTTCTCCCTAAACTTTTGTTCAGCAGGTAAGGGACCGTTCATAGGCGGTAAGGCAAAAAAACAAAATATGTGTGCCACAAGCGCACTTTCCTGGGGGAGGGAGGTAGTGGAGTGGGGGACGTGGCTTTGACCTTGCTGTGAAATTTAGGAGCTAAGTTCTCTGAAATGTCATTCCCTCATTTAAGACCTATTTTACTTAAATCAGCCGTTGTTATTTTTAGACCACTAAAAAACGTTTGATTCCAATAATATTACACTGTCTTCAATGCTCTAGAAAAGCTGTGTATACTTTAGTATACTTCCATATATTCGTTCATTACCTTGATCAGATCAGATCACAACTTAGGTATTTTTGAAAACAAGTTATTTAATTTTAGTAAACCTTCAAGCGGTTACAGGCGGTAAGAAGTGTTGCTTCAGACGGTAAATTTTACCGGTTACCGCCTGATAAGGAGAACACTGCTGGTGTTGAAGTTTAAAACAATCTTTTATGGGAAAGTCTAAAACATTGTGCCACATAAATCCTGAGTGGAAAAACAGGGCCCAATTGTTTGAAGGCCAATAGGGGTTATAACCCTTGGTTAGTGCTAATTGGCCTTCAAACGACTGGGCCCTGTTTGTCCACTAAGGTTTATATAGCACATTATTTTACATTTTGCCATTAAAGAATGCTTATCATCATTATCATCGTCATCATCGTCATCATTATTTTATCATTAATATTATTGATTAATTTTTGTGATGGATAATTATTGGTTTATGGCTAAAATAAAGTTCAGCAAGTTAATGTTATTACCCTCCTTATCATTTTGATGTTTCTCTCCAATCCATCTAAGTTGAAGAGTAAAACTAAAAAGTGCAATCAACTGGAACGATTTTTTGGAAAAACTCTAAAATTTGAAAAGGAATGTGACAGACCTTAAAGTGGGAGAACTGCAGTCCAATGTAACTAACAGCTCATGGTCTGTAAATGTCTGGGATATCTGGAAGCTGGGCTAAAAAGTTTTGCATAAGATTGTGTTTAGATTCTTATCTGTTGATCTTGATCAATGCATGGTATTCACGCTTCTCTTTTGCACTCTTAACTTTTTTTATGAGAAACAGCATTAACAAATTTAATCAGGACTTAAGATGATATAAGTTTGCTATACTGATAGTGTGACAGCCATTATTTTATAATACACGACAGCCTTTATGCGGTCATGATTGAAGGCTCTAGGTCATCTGACACTGCTTTTATATGAAGTACTAATGTATGGTTGTTATGCAATGGGAAATTAATCATCAACTACTTTGGCTCACCAATACAGTCTTTGAATACAATGAGATTGATTAAATTCTTTTTATTAATTTGGTTAATAACACCAAATACACCAAGTATACTTAACCATACCAACTGCACTGACTGAACTGACTTCACTGGCTTACACAACTACACTGTCTTCACTGACTACATCAACCACATCCACTTCACCAACCAACCACCAACTACACTGACAGGTTACAGTGACAATGCCTACTACAACAAGTCCATCCACTATATTGACTACA